GCCGGCTTCCCCGGGCTCTGCTGTTCCCTATGCAGACCCGTGACCTGCACAGCGGGTCTCCCTGCAGCGATCGGAGAGAGATGAGTAGACTTCCTGCCGTTGATATCTTCTCCAATCACTGGACCCGGAAGTGAGGTGTGCTACATCACTTCCAGTGTCACCGTTTACATTCACTGGCTCTCAGAGCCAGGAGAAGAAGCTAGGGAAGCAGATATCTGCTTCCTGGTCTTCTTTGGGGTCCCTAGGTGACATTAGGGGAATGACAGACCTGTCACACCCTATCCGCTATTACATAGGGGCTTGTTGTTGATGTCAGAGGAGAATGGGCAGACTGGTTCGAGATGATAGAAAGGCAACAGTAACTCAAATAACCACTCGTTACAACCAAGGTATGCAGAATACCATGTCTGAACGCACAACACGTCGAACCTTTAAGCAGAAGGGCTACAGCAGCAGAAGACCACACCGGGTGCCACTCCTGTCCGCTAAGAACAGGAAACGGAGGCTACAATACGCACAGGCTCACCAAAATTGGACAATAGAAGATTGGAAAAATGTTGCCTGGTCTGCGGAGCCTCGATTTTAGCTGCAACATTCAGATGGTAGGGTCAGAATTTGGCATAAACAACATGAAAGCATTTGTCCATCCTGCCTCGTAACAACGGTTCAAGCTGGCGTCGGCGGTGGTGTAATGGTATGGGGGATATTTTCTTGGCACACTTTGGGCCCCTTAGTAACACTTGAGCATCGTTTAAAGGCCACGGCCTACCTAAATATTGTTGCTGACCATATCCATCCCTTTATGATTACAGTGTACCCATCTTCTGATGGCTACTTCCAGCAGGATAATGCACCATGTCACAAAGCTCACATCATCTCAAACTGGTTTCTTGAACATGAGAATGAGTTCACTGTACTCCAATGGCCTCACAGAAGAATTAAGGCAGTTCTGAAGGCAAAAGTCCATTCTGGTACCCGGTACCAGAAAGGTGTACCTGATAAGGTGGCTGGTGAGTGTATATCTGATATCTACATTACTTGGTGCATTTCATTGTTGTTGCTAGAGTAAAGGTGAGTTCATCGTATTCTAACCGCTCAGTGTCACTAATCGCTTCTAGTTAACATAAAAGTTAAAGGGAACAACTCCTTTGAAAATGCTAGTTGCTTGGTTGTCTCTGGCTTCAGCACGTTAAGTCTCCAGCTGAGAAGCATGTAGCAAGGAAGTCAGAACTCCTGATTCACTTACACGTAGAAGCAAAGGTCAGCAATGACTGGTTACATATTTCTCACATTACAAGTTTGACTTGATACTACGAAGCACTCAAAATAAAATATGCAATGTTAAAAAGGCGACTATCATTCAAGAAGAAATTAAATCTATGTTTACTATAGAGCTCATTGCCATCTATGTTTATTGAATCACACAAGTCAGAATGAAAGACTAACCTTTATGCCCTCAAAGTACAAATCTACAACCTTCTTGCAGTGAAAGATTATCAGAGCCCCCTACATAAAAGAGGATTTTTTAATATTTATTTAGCCACAACAGTTAAGAAATACAACGTAGGCTTGATACCAAATACAAGGTTGTTTTTTGTGCTTTTTTTAAAAGAGAAAAAACATAAATAAAACACATTTGTTTTTGTATGCTAACCATTATGATATTAAGCTAGAATGATCAAATCTTAAGCTTTAAATACAAAGAAGTTCTGTAAAACTTTGGAATGTAAAGTTTCACTGCATACTTGATCTATAACCACCAGTATCAGGTCTGATAACTGCAAAGATACAACAAACTTTATGCATGAGGAAAGGGAAATATTATTTCTCTCATCAATGGTGCAGGGAGATACCAACACACTAGCTAGGAGTTATCCCAGTTTGTTAACAGCAAATCCCTGAAAATTAACTAGACTATTCCACTAGATACCTCAAATATATCTGTTCCAAATAATACAAAAATAGAATTTTTTGTTTGATACTTTTCCTGCATTTGACAATTTTGTTTGCCAGCGTTGTGGCCCGTCCTGTGCTAATCTTTTCCTTGCACCGCTAAACATACAAGGACAACAGTTTACATTTCTTAAGGGTTTAAATAAATAATCCCAAATCCCTACTGGCCTCGTTAAAGTAGCCTCATACAAATTTTCACTTGTATGAGCTGAAATAAAAGTGTCTACGTTGCAATTTGAGCTCCTGCTGACTCGTTTAGCCTTAAGGAAGTATTGAAATTCACGTTGCTCATTATTCCAAACAGTTTAAAGCAGCCTATTGTGATAAATCATTGTGAGGGTTGTCAAATTAAAGAGACTTCAGAAACAAAAATAAACCCATTTCAAAAACACACTTTAAAAAAAAAAAAAAAAAAATATAAGAATACTCAAACTTTTAAGCAGAAGAGGTTTTTTGACAACACTGATGGCCGTTGACTCGAAATAGAGCTCTTGAAAATTGATAGCAGAAATAGAATTGAGAATAGACCAATTCAAATGGTAATTTTGAGAAACGCAAGCAGAAAACACACAATTACAAGTAAAATGGTTTCTGCATGTTATTCAGAGCTTGTTTTGATTTTATTCATTATAGAGAAGTAAAACCTGCAAATATTACCTATACAAGCGAAAAAGAGAAAATGAAAGAAAAGCATACAATAATGATGTGGTAAGCATAAACTGTTTTTTTGTATGTGTAAATCTTATACTTACACAATGGTTAGTTCAGTGTTCAGCCTACACTTACATAAAGCCAGATAACATACAGTATATATCACTTCTTTAAGATGACACACACACTTACTAGTGCAAAGACTGAAGTATGCTGCACAGCTGTTTTTACACAAGAAAGTTTTTGGAGGGCTAAACAAATTCACACTGGAGGCTACAGGTAAAGGTTCTCTTACCCAAAAAGATCCCTGATGCTGTAGAGACCTTTTTTTAAAATAACAAAGTATAACAATACAATGAATTAACATCGGTAAACATTACAGTTCAGAATGCACTGTAAAAAGGTAAACACTAGGAAGGGAATTTATCAAAACTGGATCAGACAAAATCTGGAGCAGCTGTGCATGGCAACTAATCAGCCTCTTTCTTTCATTGTCAAATCTTACTGAAACAAACTGGAGAGAGAAGCTGATTGGCTGCGATGCACAGCTGCTTCAGATTTTGTATTCTCCAGTTTTGATAAATTCCCCTCTACGTGTTTCAAATTTGACACATCATCACAACATTTAGCGTTGCCAATAAAATTAACATTAAAACATTTCTCAGTGATCAATCCCATACCAAATTAAGATATAAGGTGGAGCTGAAAGTATGTCTTCTGGGATCTTTAAAGTCCATTTCCACCTTTGCAGAGGTATTTAAAAAAAGTGTGCCAGCAATGTACACCGAATATACATAAAGCAGATATATGGAGTTGCTGTATATGAACACAAAAACTTATTTTTTTTTGTTAGCTTTCCTCTTCATGGCTCCTTTTGAAATGGCCCCGTGTGTGCTCTACAAGCACTCTGCTTGTAGAGCAGAGTGCTTGTAAAAAGTCACCCCCGCCACGGAGCTTTTAGCTATAATGTGCTAGTATGCACTAGGGATACACCGATACCGGTTTTTCGGTATCTAGTACTGATACTTTGCTTTCGGTACTCGTCGATACCGGTGGTTCCGCTGCCATGGAGCCAGCTTCCCGGGCAATCTGATTGCCCGAGAAGCTGGCTCCACGTTTTCTAACCTGCTTGATTGAGCTTGGCCGGGAAACGGGCTTCCCAACCAATTAGCATCGAGCAGGGGAACATGGAGCCAGCTTCCCATGCAATCAGGAAGATGGGCGGCGAGCAATGGCCCGCCTCCCAGCTTCCTGACTGGCCGGGAAGGCGGCTCGATGCTCATTGGCCAGGAATCCGGGAGGCGGGTCATTACTCGCACGGGATGCTGGCTCCATGTTCCCCTACGGCACTGATGGTCAGAGGAACTCTTCCTGACTGGAAGTTCCGGTATCGGGGAAGGTATCAGAGCATTTGGACGAGTACGAGTACTCGCCCAAATACTTGGTATCGGCACCGATACTAGTATTGGTGCATCCCTAGTATGCACAGCGTATTAGCACATTATGGCAGCCTTACCTGTAAAACTGATCCCCATTGATTGGCTTGGTCCTGTTCTGGATTCCGATTCTCCGGCTGCTTGAGTGAGCAGGCCATGATGATGCATGTGCATAGGAGTTACTTGATCTTGGAATGTTGGGTCTGTGTGCTGAGCTACACATATGTGGCTCAGTGTACAGAAAAAAAAAAATTGTTGACAGCTAGAATAATAATTCCATATAATCTCTTCTATTGTATAAATATCAATTAGCTTTTTGTTTTTTTCCAGGAAGCTTTACTTCTGCTCTAAGTAAACCAGTTAAGCACTATCAATTTCATTCTACTTATTTCTTCACTGAGGGGAAAAAAATAATGGATTCACTGGAGCTTTGCCTCATGTGCGAGTTTACTAAAGGAGGTGGAGAGTGAACACATGAATTCTATGGCTTTCATTAAACAGTTCCTTAAAAAAATTCTGTTCAGCAACAAGACTTGTTTTAGAATCCACATGAATATAAGAAACCAGAAAATGTTAATAAAATGGAAGGACTTATATGACATTAAAAGAAATACCTCAGTATTTATTTATGCTATTGGCTTTCGGTGGTAAATATGATTGAATCACATGGATCAGTGAGGCACTGTTGTCACCCTAGGGCAGAAAGTGTTTTACTGGCTGTATCACCAGGTGAAAATAAAGGAAGAAGCCTAAAAAACAGAATGTAGCCACCATATCTAGGGGCTGGTAAGGTGTGATATACCTAATGTTTGTCCTCGAGTTCAGATATGCTTTAGAGTGCTGAAATCTTCTAACATGAAGAGTTTCACACAGGTTCTGTATGCAGCTAGCACTTAATAGAAAGAGAAAAAAGAAGACGCTACACAGACACTGATGAAGTATATAGTCAAATGTACTTACTCTGGATGACTTTTGTCAATGCATGGCATGTATAGTAGCCTTGCACAATTCTGAACTTCCAGGGCATTTGACGACTCACTGGATGTATTTCCAGAAAAAAAATATGAATTATTTCTTCCAGATGACCTTGATTCTACCAAAACTGTGTCAACATTCAGTAGCCAGAGCTGAAAAAAAGGTTACAAATATTCCTTTATAAGACGATGAAAGGGATATAATCATGGTCTAGGCAAATTAACTGTTGCAGTGACAGAAAAGTCTGCTGGAAAATCTTAACTGCACTGTCCTCTTTTAATGTGTGTTAAAGGTAACGTTAAGTTAGCAAGCATGCAGAAAGAAAAGCTTGAAGCCATGTTCTGCATGCTTGTTCTCAGTCACTGACTCTATCTAGTTAGTGAAGCCAGACATGTTTAATTGTTTTGGCTTAATATAATTTGCAGACTGATATGTCAGTTTTTCTTGTTAAAATGTTAAATCTCAAAAACACATTGAAGGGAATTTATCAAAACTGGAGCAGTTGCCTAGGGCAACCAATCAGCTTCTCTTTTCAGTTTGTTCAGTTGAGATTTGAAAATGAAAGAGAGAAGCTAATTGGCTGCCGTGCACAGCTGCTCCAGATTTTGTCTCCTTCCGTTTTGATAAATTCCCCTCATTGTATATAGTATATGTGTTAACTTTGTCATTTTAACATTCAATTTAGGAATGCAACGAGTTTCCCAAATGAAAATCACATTCACGGTTAGAATTTCAACTACTGATTACCCCATTAACTATTAGAAAATCAAACAACATGTTCCAAAAACTATTTTTTTTCAAAGAAATTCTAACCGTTTATATACCTAGCTTTAGTCTAGCCCTAGGATCAAACATATCGGGAGGAATTTCAGGTTCAGTGACATTGCACATTATATTATCAAGAAGACAGTAAGCACTCTATAACCACCTTGGGCTTTTAGTAAAGCCATTGGGGCAGTATTCTTGGACATCTGGAGATCTATGATAAATGGTAAAAACATCTTCAGTTCACTATGAACAGAACACAATCTTACTATAATGTAATATACAAAGATATTACATTAAAAGGATCAGTGATCAGTTAACATTCAGCCCAAAAAAATATAATCCATGTATTAATTGCCTGGACTTCCCAGCATAGTGTTATCAGCTGATGTGTTGCACCCCATGCTCATTCCAACTCGAAAAACACTAATCTGAAGTTGGGGCTGGGCCACAGGCAATAATGGCCATTATGTCTGCTCCCCATCTTAAAGTGACACTAAACTCAGGAGTTAAATCTTAAAAATGCATTTAGGTACCTTAACTATTAACAAAAATGTAGCTTATTTGTGTATCACTTGGCTGCAGATCCTCAAATCATCTCTGAATCGGTGCTAATACTGTCCTTCCTTCTGGACGGTGGCTAATTTTGTTCCTCATGTTTCCGGAGTGTGTTGTAGAGTAGCTACCACTCACTCTCGTGATAAGCTCGCTCTCGTGATGGACTACAAACTCACATTTAGTACACTAATTTGTACTGAGACTGTAGTCTATTACAGAAGCGAGCTCAGAGCTGTGGCTACTTTACAAAACACACAGGGATCATAAGTAGCCACCCTCCAGAAGGAAGGACAGTATCAGGATGAATTCAGAGATGATTTGAAGATCTACAGCGAAGTGATACACAAACTAGGTACATTTTTGTTAATAGTTAAGGTCATTAAATGCATTTTTAAGATTTAACTATTTAATTTACGGTCACTTTATGCTCTGGTGCATGCACCAAACAGTAGCCAAACTTATCTCAAGTCCTACAGAGATGCAGGCTGTCTATTCTGTCTTCATCCCCATTGGGATTTGATTTTAGTAGTTGGTTCTATAAAATGATTTTTTTAAGCACTGCAAGCTGGTGAGGAGGAATCAGGTAAAAGACACAACACAATGTATTTACTTTATCACAAAGGTGCACTTATTCTTTAAAGTAAGTGATTTGTTTAAGCAAACTAAGAAATTGCAACCAAACTGTTCCTAAACTGCAAAAGCAAAATTAAGTCCCAAATTACTGTTCTTCTATTTCTGCTTACTTAAATGGGTGTTAAACATAATCTATCTTCCAAACACAAAAGAAAACTAATTATATCAACACTTTCAGTGTACTAAAATGCATTTACCTACAAACAATAAACAAATGTAAAACTACAGAAACATAATTTTCGCATTAAAGTTGGTAACCATAATACAGAAGAATGATAAAGCTATATAAAATGCAAGCAGGCAACAGACTAGGAGCAATATATTTTAAAATACAATTTAAAGAATTAGCATACAAATGCTGTGTTCCTCCTAAAGCGGCGGGTAAAGCAAAACAAAATTTGGACTATAAATTGATGTATTATCCGAGCACATTTTAATCACTTTATTTTCAATTGGTACGACATTAAATACAATCATTACATTGGTGGAATGCTAATATATCCTAAATCCTTATCCTGAAGAACTCCTGGAAAAAAAATATTTTTTGCCATTTGTTGTGTCCAGCTTAGTTGACTCGTATACTACATCCGGAGGGCTGCTGGTGATGCTAAAAAATGTAATCTGTATTTATGCAAAACTTACTGTGAGCTTTGATCATCCAGCTCAGCTCCTTTGACTTCCACCACTGATTACACTCCCCCTTGCTCCATTCAGAAAACATCCTGCATTCTATTCACAGAATACAAGACTTTCTCTGAATGGACAAGGGTAGAGGAGGAGCGGTTGAATGCCATGTACTCCCCTTGTCTATTTAGAGAAAGCCTTGTATTCTGTGAAAAGAATACAAAACATTTTCTCACTGGATAAGGTGGGAAGAAGGGGGAATGTAAACAGATATATCCTTCACTGTACAAGCAGCCAAAGTTAAAGTAGTTGAGCTAGAAGATCAAAGCTAAGAGTAAATCCAGCATGAATACAACAGTTTTTAACATCATCGGCAGCCCACTGTACGTAGTATACCAAGCATTGGTGGTAACTAAACAACAAATATTTTTTTTTCTTAATTTTTCCACACTTTACAGGGAATTAATAGAGCTTTATGTCTTAAGGGCCTCACATGTACTATTTCTGAGAAGTATTAGTTGACGACACTACTGGCATCATACATAATGATGGCGTCTCCTCAAACTAAACTACGTGTGATACGTCAGAGCCAGTCAGAAGTCTATGATGATACTTTGTGTCAGCAGATGAGCCATTTGAATAAGTGATATCCATATTTACAGAAAAGAAAAAGTATCAGTAAAGAATAAACATTACAGATGTAGGCAGAGTAATGTACAAGCTGAGTTCACACTTGTGTGTGGTAAAACCGCTGGGAAAACCTGACCTGTGGTTTTCAAAAGCACTGCTAACTCTCAAAACACTGCTTATTATGCCGAACAGAGAATGTAAATGACACCGGACCTAAGTTCTTCTGCCAAGCTAAGGTATTTTACAGCTCCCCAGCTTTGTGTTGTTTTCTAATGGGGTAACAGGGGGATAAGCAGGAGAGTTAACATTAACTTTCAATGTTAACTCTCAATGTTCACAATTTTTAGCTGCATGTTACCGCCAGTCTACAATACACTGTGAAGTGCTCTATTTAATCATCAAAGTTATACCAACTGTATATGTGTTCTTGTGGCCCAGGCTGTATATACTTCTTCCCAGGTTAGCATCAAGTCTTGCATCTAAGTTAATAGTCTATTGCCAGAGCCTAAGTGGCCAGTAGAGAAGGCTTTGTGTAAAGTCTGGGGCTGGAATGAATTGCCTCTTCAGGGCAGGTATTCTTAGGCACGACTGTTCAGATTCAGTTCATCTAATGTTTAGTCTCCTGCTAAAACTTAAAATAAAAACTTTTAAGAGTTATTATTGTATCTTTGACATTCAGAGAGATATATATCTAATTTCTATATCCTTAAATACTACAGCCAATGACAGTTGAAACATAAGAGCTATTTGAGATCTTTTTTTTCTTTCTTAACAGGTGTGTGATGTAGTCATGGCCACTATGACTGCCAAATATGCACAAGGGAAACATATCCACAACGCAATTACCTTGCAATACAGATGGGATTTTTAATCTCTCTGGGATGATAAATAGACTATAACATATGGCTGCTTCATGGTGCCATAGTACTGAGGAAATTGTAGAATTAAATAAAGCTACAGCATGAGTGAACAAACTAGTACACACTGAGAAAAATGATTATTCCAATGAATAGAAACATTATATGGATATTAATCAGGTAGACATTTTCAGTATACTGTATGCAAGCGGAAATGGAAGCTGTAATCCAATAGTAGGTAATATAAATTATCATTGATATTATTTTGTGAATTATTAATGGTGAACAATGAAAACACTACCTCAGCTGCCTTGCCACTGAAGCTCACACATCAATAACTTTAATATCAGAATGCTAGCTCAAATTCTAAAATCTCTAACATCAGAAACATCAGCATTCCTTTCATACAGTTGCTTTATTAAAATCTGAATGCACTCCAAGACATTTGACAGCAGTTGGTATAAAAACCAGAAAGTCTCTTTTTTGATAAATGTTCATGTTGATGTATACTTCTTTGTACAGTATATCTCTTGCATTTTACACTTCTACAATAAAATTAGGACTAACGGGCAATTTGTAGATGATGTCCTATGTAGCAATCCAATTTGTTAACATATACTGACAGGCCAAAAACTATCTGTAGCAGTGGGTTGCACCCCACACATTGCCCTTTGGTCTACATACAAGCCTGACAAAACTGCATGTATTAATAAAAAATACCTTACGTGGTCTCTTTCCCTCCAGAAGCTATAACTGTCATTTCTTCTTTCAGTATTTTTTTAACTAAAGTATAAGGGCCCAGATTTACGTTGTGGTAAAGCATGCATCACAGTGGGTTCCTGCAACACAGCTGCTATACGAGTGTTGCTGATAACACACCGCATATATAGTGTCATTAGCATATGCTACAATGCACTTTGTATTGAATGTCAACACGTCATAAAGCACATCAACATTTGCAACATGTGCTTTAATGTGTTTCCATTGATTTAAAAATTCCACCTTTTAAATGCACACTTCCTCATTGAAGATAACAATGCGCATTCATTAATTTTTTGCATTGGAGCCAGTAAAGCATTGCAACCGTGATCAGTCACCGGGATCATGGGTGCCATGCTCTGGCTCCTTGGTATGGACACAGAGTATGGGGGTCCCTGAGAATATTCCTATCCACAGGTCCCCTATAAATACATCACTGTTGCCTGCTCCCAGCTCAGACACAACATGTCACTGCCAAAATCACATTCCCTACGCCTCGCTCTGCAGTACAGTCATTCTCACGAAGCCACTTATTGATATCAACCTTTCTGGATGTCTACTTCCCAATGAGGAGAAGAATAATCTGAGAGCTTATTCAATACAGCAGTGCAAAGCACAGATTACGTGTAAAGTGCAGTAACCAAGATAGCACTTTTTAGCTCATCTGACCCCTAAAAAATGAGATCCAGTTGTTTGCTTTACATTACTGTTCAATGGACATCTCTATTGCTCTTGCACTCCTTTTGACCATGAAAGTTTCAATAACTTGATCTGCAAGAAATACTGCTCTTCCTGATCATTCACTTGGTTGCCAAGGCAATATCACTGCCCGTTACTGCAGCAAGCTGTAGGAACTGAACCAAATCCTGAATAGATGATGTGCTGTCACAATAGTTGTATAAAATGACTCAATTCATAGTCATAGTTGGCATTCATGTTGGTGTTGAATGAGAATTCATATAGTTTATTTTCCTTATGCCATTTGCTCATTGGTATACTATAGCTAATTGTTATACTGACCTCTTGTGGTCGTTTTGGATTATTGCACCATGCTTTTCTGTGTTCCCTCCCATCTATGATGTATTTTTCCTTTCTTCATGAGAACAGTCGTTTTCTAGTGTCATGGCTGACAGCAGTGGCGTCACAAGAGGGGTGCGGCCTGCACCCGGTTGACACCATTGGAGGGGTGACACCAAAATGACTCACAGTCATTTTGGTGTCACCCCCCCTCTGAAAAAAAAAGACAGTATCAGGAGAGAGGCATACCTTATCCCGCCGGGCGACTGTCCCCTCCTCTCTCTGCCAGCATCCATCACCAAGATGGCCGCCGGCAGGTATCAGATTACTGCCGCGCGTGTGCACTGACGTCACGGTTACCGCTCCGGGTGTCCCCCAGCCTCGGGACACCCCTCGCTGACAGTAACATGACCACATGTTAATCTGCATTGCATGCTTGGAAACATTACTATGGTAGACCTTCAAATACCATCTATTCATTCATCTGCTGTATCCTGTTGTCTACTGTAACCCTGCTGCAGTCAAATAAAGCACTTTGTGGATGAAAAGGTATTTGGGGAGTTTAGCTATCTGATAAGGATTGTCCGCAGTGATTATATCTGCTTATAGAGGCCAGACATAGAGGTCTCAGCAAGGGATAAATTGCTAATAAAACAATCGGAGTCAGAATAGATGATCAAAGATTAATAATGGAAAAGGTAATACCTGGATAATGTGTATATGTGATGGTGTTAAGGGACCCTTGTTTTCTACATGTTCCAGTTCCCTACTGTGGATATTTCTATCAGGCATTTGAAGCTACACAGCCAAAATCCACAAAGCTGGTAATTGGTAAAAGGTGGGAAAGGGTGTTTCCTTCATTGTGTTTAAAGCCGAACTCGAGGGGAAAAAAGTGACCAATGCAGTGGGGCTCCTCCCGCTTCGCAAGTGTTAAATGCTTAATCTGTCTAGAGGGAACATGTGAAGATGCCGTGGACATGCCCACAACCTAGAGCATCAGAGAGTGTTGGCTGCCGGAAAAGCGAGGGATAGGATGAGTATAGTTACTTTTTCTGTCCCCCTAGATGAAACAAGCATGTAATCATTGCAGTGCTGGAGGAAGCCCCACTGCAAGGATAATTTTTACCCCGTTGTCCAGCTTAGGATAGAATATGGAAGGGCTGGTAATTCTTTTTTTCTATTGCTGTCTGTCTAAGCAAAAGGATTCAGAATGATAGACAACTGTGTGCATATAATTATTAATTTGGAAATTCTGTACAAAATAAACAATACTTTAAAATTACCACATCTTTGCTGTGTAAAGCAACACTCGAAATTGCACATGTTGGAATCGTAATGGGTGACTGTGTGAAAGATCATTGTTGTCTTACCAGCAGGAAAAGTTTGCCATCTTGTCCTTGAACACAAAACCTGAATGTGCTTCTGGAGGACGAGAAGTTCAGGAGAATCTGGACAATCATATTCTCCACAAACTGGTTCCTGTTGAAAATAAAGATCAGTCTTCACAGCATGTGTCCATGTTAACTATCATTGAAAAGCCAGGCAGCTAATGGTTACTGGTCATTAGGACAAAACAGAACCTTCACATTATCCATTTTCCTTTATGTGCTGTCAGCACCCTACTGAATAGAACAGAAGTCTCTCCAGTCAGAGATAGTTACCAGATAATGAAGCGGACCATGTCCTATATCATTTTCAATTTCTAAAACACTGGGAATTCTTATGTCCGGAATACATTATTTCAGTGTCAGAAAACACTGAAAGTTACTACTGTTTTACAGCAAAAATGTTCCTGATTGAGGGGAATGCTTGTTATCTCATTATTTATATAAATAAAAATAGAACACAACATTTTCTTGGTGTTAAAAAAACAAATAAATCACACCACTGTAAATTGTGCATTAGATTAAGATGTGATAAAGTATATGGCTGTATAAAATGTTTATAAAGCTATAATGTAAGAGATGGAGATTGGTATAAACAAGAAGATAATATTGGAAAAAAGCAATCACACCCAAAAACATAATTACCTTATTTTTTTTTTAACTACATGTGATGGTTTAGGTTGCAGAATTCTCTTGCAAAATTCAATTAAAATCAGACTAGAGCTTAAAATATTTTACAACCTATACCTATGGTTTATAAAATTACCTTAGTTGGGTCATTTGCAAAGATCCTTCTAAACTTCTCAAATGGTGTCACAGACCATAGTACATTTAAGTTTGTTAACTCCCATAACCCAAACTCCAGCTATAACATAAGTAGCTTTAAACAAAAGGGGGGAAAAAGGGAAAGGAATACGTGCTTTGCTTAGAAAAAAAAAAGTAATTTATGAAAAAAAAAAAAAGTCTATTTAATTTTAGGAAAAAACAAGTGACATATTCACTGGATTAACCACTGAAAAAAAACTAATTCAAAAGGAGAAACGCTGTAATCCTCACTCTATAGCATGTTTTGTATTAGTATCCAGTGAGTGGCTGAAGTTAAACCAACAGAATGTTTAAATGTACTAGTACACTGGAACATCATTATTTATGATGTCAATTTTAATTGGTATAATTATAGTACTGTCAACCCTCTATTATTCCATACCCAGACTGCACTCTTATATCTAATTACACATAATCACAAATGTTTGCTGTGATAATGAAGTATTACATTTTATAAAATGTAAGGCCTTCTTGCCTTAAAGGAGAACTATGGGGTTAAGTCTTTTCCCCATAGTTCTCCTTAGGGTAACGGGAGGACACAAGCTAGCGTCCTCCCGTCACCCTAGGCCCAGTATACCGCGAGCTGTAGCTCGCGGTATACTGAGACGCCGCAGCTGAAGCGGATCCCGACAATTGTGCCGAGATCCGCCCAGCTGCGTGACTGACAGCTGGCTCTATCTAGAGGCAGAGCCAGCTGTACCCGTCCCCTCCCCCGTCCGATCCACCAGTCAGCGCTGGCGGATCGGAGCGGGGAATCCAGCCCCTCCCCTGTCACGGCAGAGAGCCGTGACAGGATCAAGAGGTGAGCGAACGCCGGTATGTGTTCGCTCACCTCCCGATCTACTGAGCCGACCTGTGACAGTCTTATTGTCACAGGTCGGCTAGAACTATGAGGCGAGTGAAAAGCACTCACCTCATAGTTCTCCTTTAATACCTTTTGGGGAAAAAAACACAGAATTATGAATTACTGAGTTATGTTAAAGCATGACATTTACCTTGAAATCATGGTATATGCATGACATGATGGTCGAATCATTACTTCAGTGATATAGTACCTGATAGTGTCTAAAATGCAAAAATAAAAAAATAATGAAATTAAAAATATGAATGTATTAACAATAAAATACTAAAATGAGAAAGATGAAATGGAAAGTATGTAGAAACAAGGTGGCACTGAAAGTTATTTAACTGTTATTTTTTACCCACTAGAAGGACCAGCAGATTCAAAACAAGTGATGAATATGGTTTTATGTTCTGATCTTCAATGATATTGCAATATGACAACTTCTACAGTAAACTGAATAGTATTGCATCAACAAAAAAAAGTTTTTTGTTTTTTTTTAAAGCTCATTGTAAAATAATTTTCTCTGCGTTCATTGGAGGACATAGCTCTGCTTTTAGACCTGGGCAGTGAGACTACTAAATAAGAGATTCCTGTGCTCAAATGTCATGAGGTTGTTGCCATGGTCTCCTCCTCAGTTCCCATAAGTGTAGTAGCAACAGATAAAAAGACATGGATGGCATCCATCGCGTCCACACTGTTCACCACTCAAGAATGGAGAAGCTCTACACACCAAACACCGGGGAGGAGAAGGTAGAAAATGGAGGGAGACCCTCCACTTACCATACTACTGCCCAGGCCAGGATCACAAGGGTTTGCAGGGAGGAGGAGAAGGATACCACCCACCACAGCCAGGGCTCTGCTCATTTGAGGGGAACACTGAAACATAACAGGACACAGCTGACCAGTCACATGTGTTTCCAGGAGTGAAACCCCTGGAACCCACACAGAACAAGGAACTGCATGCGTTTGATAGCTAAAACTAGGAATACTGCCAGGAGCTGTGTCCATCAATGAACAAAAGAAAGCTCCATCTGGTGATAAACTCTGGTATGGCTACATCACCCTTGAACAGTCTATTAAACAATGCAAATAAGTTGTTCTAAAAAGATGATGGTACATGCATACCAGTCGCAGTTGCTGTAAAACCTTTACTGAAACTCAGCAAAGTAAATTCAGAACTCTTGGACTTCCCCTCTAACCTGTTTCACAGTGTGTAGCGCCTAATCAGAAAAGCAGTTACTCATAAATGGGTGATTGGATGCATCTAGGGAAGGTATCATTGAAGCTGAGGCATTTGTAAACTGGAAATCCATGTTAATACATTTTCTATATTTACAAAAGCATTTCAATTAACCGACATTGCATCCAGTACATATTCAAAAATGTAAAGCCCTCGCTGGCAAATACAGAAGAGTTTGTATAATGCAGAAAGACCACAAGGAATAAATCCACTGATTTAGTGAAAATATAATCTGGGTCAGCAATGCCCTTGACAATGAGAGCGAGTACCTAATCGCTTCATTCAAAATTCAATGTACTGATCAATCATTCCAGCGGCACTCTCTTGGGTTTAATTTAGAAATAATGAGCCGTTTAGAAAAGTTATACAATGTAAAGGAAAGAGTGCTTTTTTTTTTTACTAAGGTAAAAAAAAAATAAAAGAAGCATAACTTGGTGCCACAGCAGTTTCAAAACTTAGCTTATCTTTGTCTTACAATACAGCATGTTATGTCAGAGACTGCTGAGTGCCGCCACAAAACAAAGCAAAATGTGTCTTCAGTATCTTTTATTGTCAGGCTGGTATTAGGATTGTTACCGTTTTACATACCTGATGACACCGTCTCTCCCAGTATTGCCTTGCAACGCTTGCAAATGACTTTGGTATTTTCCTTTGATTTCTGTAAGGCAGAAAAATGTCACTTAAATGTCACATTACACCTTTAGTAAAAGAATGCTTAATTTTTATATACCATCTCTGGAGGGCAGCCTGAACTTTATTTTGCTTCTCCTTTAATGCTGACATTCAGTGACATTTTTCTTTTTGAGAGCGTACATACCAAAGCTTGCCATATTATACTTACCTATGAAGTGTTAGTGTCAGAATGTGGTTTTAACATACTGTCAAACTAGCTAAGGCCAATACTATCGTAATCCTAAACCAGTAAGGAGTCGTTGTGATGACACTGTACTTACCAGTCATGTTATTGTTTAATCAGTAATCATTTGAGGACCTTAGACATAGGAGACACGCTTAAATTTTTTTTTTAAAAAAGTGTCCTACTTCCAGCTCATATCCCTCTGGCACCACTCTCCAGCATCTATTGCCAGCAAATGTCAAAATGATGGCCTGGAATTGCTATATATTACATAGCAGGAGTCGCTGCTAAAATGCAGTTGCTCCTCTGAAATATGACACTTGCAGTAAGTATGCAAGGGTCATTGAGAAAATATACAATGCAACAATATCTTGCTTCTGTGCAGTTACTATTTCATTCATTATGTAGAACCAAGGTGTGACCGGTAATCTGTGTATGACATCAGTTAAAGAAACCGTACAAGTCAAACATATTAACTTAGTTAACCTTAAAGTGACATTAAAGTCAAAAATCTTTTTCCTTCGCCCTAATGTTAATTAAAGCACTTACCTTAAATGATGTCTCTTAATCCGATCTTCTTCTTTCCTGTCCTTTTCATCCGTCCCTCCAGCGCTGCGGCGGGTCTCCGATCCAGCGCTGACTCCTCTGAGCTTGCTGGCACTTCCTGTCCCACGGTGTCTGCATGCGGGTGCACGCGTCTAGACTTACCTTGTGTCTCTCCTCGCAACCCGGCCAAAAATGTGAACTGCGCATGCGCCTGCCCCAAGAAGCATTGCGGCCACCCTAGAATTTTCCCATTTTATTTGCCAGGTGTAAAGGCTAGGTTTCCCATCACTGGTGTCATCAGAGAAATGTTTCAAGATGTTCCAAGTAATTGCTGTGATGTCTAAATTGTTGGTGTATACGATAGAGTTCTAGATTCTCAGTGGGTCCTCTGTCTAGAATGGAATTTAATGTGGCTGCCACTGTGGTTTTCAGTTCCTGGACGGTTGTAGCCTCCGGGATACCCTGAAGTCTAATGTCACAGTGGCTACGATTTTCACTGTCTTCCATCTTGAGCGCAATAATTCTGTGCTGCTGTGTTACCTGAGCCTTTAAGGGCTGTTATAAATTGTGGAGATCAGTGGTGTGCTCAAGGGGCACCATCTTAGTTTCAGTTTGGGACACCTGTTGGAATAGTTAATCAACTTCCTTTCTGAGCTTCCCCTCGACTATGGTAGTCCATGAATCAAAGTAGGACTCTGTTGCAAAAGGTCTCAGATATCCTGTTCTTTTAATATGTTGGGTTTTATATAGGGTCATGATACTTCTGAGCCGTCTGATCCAGACGAAGAATCTGGAGCCTGTAAGTCAGGTGAGCAGACTGGGGAGTCGGGAGGTTTTTCAGCAATGTCAAGCAAATGAGGAGCCTGTGAGGGATTAGTAGCTTCCGAGGGGTGTTTAAGGTCGGACTGTATTTTGCCAACAGACTTCTTCAGTGCAAAGGTTAGTGGCAAAAGTTAAGTCTTTTGTGCCAGGCACTGTAGGCAACTGAAGCCCAGGAGCCATCCAAGGATTACTGTGCTGTGTTGTGGAGTGCATTAGCAGGGAAGCCCAGCCGGTCAGTGCGTGCCAGTGAGAACAAATGCGCATGCATGCGCAATGCATGCACAGTGAGCTTGGTAAAACCGAAAGATGCAATTGTGGCCCCAGTAGGAGCAGGAGGAGTTACACTAGGACTGTCCTTGCAGTTTTTTTGCAACTGTAAAATCACTTCAAGGTGGCATTCTGCACTGTACGATTAAGAAAGTGAGATTTCTGTATTACAGGGAAGATTTAGAAATATTACGGTAATTATGCTTAAAGAGTACTCTGATAAATGCACCTTCTCTCAGGAATTCCTCTTAAAGAAAAGCAGTACACGTTCTGGTATTGAGGGTGCCTAGGCACACTTGTGCCTACCACCTCATAACAGTATGTCTGTAGTGTGTCACTGTTACCTCTGACTACAATGTTATAGGATTGGGAGTGTAATTTGGTGATGCTACTACTCGGCTGATTACTGTTCTCTATGCTAGGGGCCCTGAGGAAGCAAAGCCCTGCCTCTACCAAGATGGCCTTCTCCACACAGGGAAACCGTGCAGAACAAGGTATAGTATGCAACAGTGCATGATCAGCTGCAGGGACACCACAGACAATATTGGCAAAAAGTCACATGACCTCCGTTAGCCCTTTTCTGGGTACAGCTACTAGAGGTTAGTTTCTATTTAATGTCCATTTTGCTGTATCCTTTTTTCTAATTGTGGCCACCAGCGACCATTTCAGCTCTTGTACCTGTATACCGTTTATGTACCAGAGCAAGTTTTACATTTGCACCATGGTTTAGTTTATTTGGAGATAATTGTATCATTACATAAAAAAACTAATTGATAGACATTTTCTTTTGGGGGGGAGCTAATGTTTACAATTGAGATTTCACTAAGAAGACTGCTTTTTGTGCATAACTAGCTTTCTCGGTTACAAGCCACTTCCCCTTTTTTTTATGAGAAGCACCTCTCAATTTAAAGCTGAACTTCAGGAAAAGTGCAAGCGCAATTACAAGCATTATACAGTTCCACAATGCAAAATCACATAATTGTAATAATAAATACACTATTATGATTTCACTGCTTTAATTTTATTGGGAATTTCTACACTACCACGCTTAATACATATTTTATTCTGTCATCTGTACTTCTCTGTGCTGTCCTTTAAGCTTTAAAATATTAATATTGTATTTTAGTTTTTTGATTATTAGAGCAATGTGTTTTATAACGATATACTACTATGTATTTAGTTTGCTGGGTCAGTTTTTTGCTTACTTACTCGAACATGCACAAGATGGATCTTCTGTCCATTCTCATAAGTCCTTGTACTGTATACAAAGTATGATTAATTATCTCCTAAGAACTGCACAAATACGTTAGCATGTAAGCAAAATATCAGGGACATAATCTGTGCAACATTATAAGAAGAGCAGTAGTAGGGCAGATTTGTAGATATTAGATATAGTAAGTATTCTTTATTATATTTAATGTTTGTTGTAAACACCTCTGAAAATGTGTGTTCAGCATGCAACTAACATAAAAGTAGACTTCCAGATATTAGAATTAAAAAAAAAAAACTCAATTCCCTTGGGAGCCACTGGACAAATTTTCTTCTTCCACAGTTGCCAAATTTCAGACTTCAAAATAAAATGTAACTATGTACAGTCGTGTTAATGTCTGAGTGTGTTTATAATGTCAGTTTATGGGGGTTTTTTATATGCAATATCAGTATTTTTTTTGTGATGGTTTGTGTGTTGTATATTGTCAGAATTTCTGTGAGTGATGTCGGTATGTGTGTCATATCAGTATGTATACATGTGTATATGTGTGCAGTATCAGTATGTATACATATGTGCAGTATCAGTATGTGTGTATCAGTGTGTGTGTGTGTGTGTGTGTTTTTCTCACAGGATTTAATTTTAATCATAGGAGGACCAACAGATTCATATTCATTCACATATAGAAATATACACACAGTAATATACACACCCACATAAATACACAAACCCACCCACACACACACAAAAAATATGCACACACAGTAGGAGGAGGCACATTCCCTGCTGATCCAGTGGTTAAATTACTAAGGTCTGCACCTTTGGCTTGTGAAGACCTTACTAATGCATCCTTTTGGCCAGTGCTCAGTGAAGGCTATCAGAGTGCCGGCTGAAAGGAACTGAGTGCCGGCACTGCAGAAACAGCTATGGGGTCTGCATCTCTGTTCGAGAGCTACTCCGGCAAGTCAGGTACATGGTCAGTGACTGCGTGCCAGACTTGTCAGCTGGCTGCGGGCCACATGGTACCGGTTAGCAGGACTCAATTGGCCCACGGGCCGGCACTTTGAGACACCTGGTCTACAGTATATCTTAGTGTTTCTCTGTTAGGCTGCATCAAACTTTCTGTTCTTTGAATAGCAGTTTTCTAAAAACAAATGTTAAAATTCTTATTAAATTAAGACTGTCTATGCACACCGAGGAAAAATGACCCCTTGTCCATTTTAGACAAAAACATCTGTCTGAAGTGAACAAGCGAAGGAAGAATGAGGCAACAATTGGAGAGTGTTCTGCAGATGGACATCCTCTTTGATCCAGCCTATCAATAAAGGTATTGAGGGTCACAAGGTACTGTGAAATTATGTTTGCTTGTATGGTATATATGTGTCTAGGAGAAGAAACTAGATTTATACTTTAATATAACCAATTTTCCAACTGAAAGCCAAAAGGTCATTGTAAACAATCCAAGAACTGCTTTATCACTTTCCAGTTAAAGAGTTGAACAGAATGGTAGCAGCATAGTCAACTAGAAACTGACTCCTGCAGAAAGATATGATCTTATGAAATGCAATATTGTCAGAAAAAAAAATGAATAACCCGCTTCAAATTACTCACAAACCACAATTTGATAACAGCTCTTGTAAACACTAGCTGAGAAAGATTAAAAGCCCCCTTCAGTCTGAAATAAACCTAATTTGAGATAATAAAGTTATACTGGGCAATATAAATGTACCAATTAGTTGATGTCATTAACACTAATAACTTACTGAGACATTAGCATCAACTGGATGAGGAACATCTGACATCTCATTAGTCTCCCCAGGGGGGTCTGAGATTTTTGCTTTATTCACCAAAAGAAATGTGTCTCCCAGAAAGCAGTCGTTAACCTTGGGCAAGCAACGACGATTGGCAAAGGGATCAGGGTGGCAGCACCATTCTTCAACCAAAGAGCTCCAGTTTTCAGTAGGCAAAGGAAGTACTCTGAGGAACTGCCTGGAACAGAATCAGAGAAATGCAGTCAACATTTCATTACATAAAATGAAACCATTATGAAGCCACACAATACAACAGTATACTAGGTATATGGATTATGTTAAAGTAAATATTTTACATTAAGTTTATATATATAAAAAAAAACAAATCATACAGTAGATTTTCACCAGATTTTTCTGTTAAATTTCAATACATCTTAATGTTTTAGACCTTTTATTTAAATAAGCATATCATTTGATAGAGAACTCCTTTTTATTTATTTCCCATAAATACAGTTGTGTAAAAAAGTAAGGACACCACATGGAAAATTGACTTTTTCAACATACTTGAAAAGACCAACATTATATCAGCTTTCAGACTGTGTCCATAGATGATATACTTGAACCAATGACTCATAAAACTAACATGGTGCATTCTTTGTCATAACCTAAAATGACAAAATGCAGAATTGATGCATGGCAAAAGTAGGTACACCCCTACATTTACTGCAACTTCAAATCCAATAAATTAAAAACATGGGTTCCTGTTTCATCTAAACCTTGAGTATCTAGAGTTTGGTGTTCTTTGTTACTGACATGTGGTGTCATCATGCCAAGATTTCTGAGCACTCATTCACACCTGAACAACATCAAATATGCGTATTTATAGCACGTTTTACAAGCATAAATAAAGCTGCGCATTTTTGTGAGCAGGTTGTTACACATTGATGTGGATAGGCAAATGCATGTAAAACGAGCAGAAAAATGCACAAAAACACAGCGAATGCACGTTTTTGAGCACTTCCATTGAAGTCTACAGGGACAAGAAGCGCAGAATCTGCCAAGAAGAAGCTCATGTACTTTTTTCCAGCAACGAGCGTTTTGAACAAGTGACAAAACGCTCAGATGTGAACATGGTCATAGAAATTAATGGGAAATATTTTTGGGCAGAAAAAGCACTAACACTTGTGTCAGCCTTATTTCTGAGGACTAAGGCTCTTATTTATGATAAACATTGCTTTAGCAAACTAAATAGCATCCAGTGAGAGTTTTAAGATACCGTATTTGCCGGCGTATAAGACGGGGTTTGATACCAAAAAAAAAATCGCCCGAAAATCGGGGGTCGTCTTATACGCCGGGTATACTTCGGTATACTGTATGTAGCTTCGGCTACATACAGTATACCGCGCTGAGCCAATCATGGCAGGCTTTGTATTCTTTTATACAAAGCCTGTATTTACTGAATACAAAGCCTGCCGTGATTGGCTAACCATGGAGGTTAGTGGGTGCATTTAAACATTGTTTTGGGCTATACTCGTCTTATACGACGAGTATAGCCCAAAACCTACTGTATATTTTTACACAAAAAGTGGGGGGGTCGTCTTATACGCCGGCAAATACGGTACTTGAAATAAAATATGGTACTGCTTGGTTTTTCAAATTCCGCTTAGACAGTACTTACGGTTTCATACTCATAATTTAGTTAATTCATAAAAATATTATGCATGCTTTTCATGTGTACTTGATATTTCTATAATCCACATTATCTATATTAAGATATGTCTCCAAAAGGAGTCAGATTTACAGACTTCATATTTGTACGCACAGTTGTACTACCCCACCCCATTTTGTAATAAAAATAAAAAAAGTGGGGTGGGCTTCAGCTGGTCTATTGTCCATTTCATTCTTTTGAAAGAAGTGTGTGCGTGTGTATATATTATTATTATATGCATACATTAAATAGTTATATTTATCTTTTTTTTTTTTTAGAAGCTAAAAAAAATCAAGAAGTTAAAGATTTATCTTCCTAGAAGTAAATGTATTTAGCTTTCTGCAGATTTGTCTCCTCAAACAGGTAAACAATGTTCACTGACAAATGCTTTCAAGCTGTAACTGACATAGTTAGTCTCTGAGCATTGTTTCGGCTTT